TGAATAACATTTGAGAAATCCTGAAATCTAAGATTGTTGGGGATAGAGTTTGGTTGAAGCTGTTTTAGACAGTACTCCATCCTATTCAGTTTATTCCCATCATTCAGTAGTGGCTTTTCCTTCCCACTTTACCTTGCATGTGGATGTGCACATCTATAGGCAATTCCTCCTGTATTTGCTTCTTTGTTATGTTCCAGATTCTACTCACTGTTCTTCTTGTGCAATTGAACTCCACAGCAAGTTTGCTGATTAAGCCTCTCTGAACCTTAGGCTCGGTTATACCAATACCTTCTTTTATTGTCACAACCAGTTTTTGGACTATCATGTCCCTTTCTGCTGAAGTGAGATTTTTGGGTCTAGGTCCCTGCTGATGTGCATTATTTTCATGAATAGGAGGCTCGTGTGCATTCACTAACACATTTTCTTGGGTATTTGTAGTATCAATGGCTGCAGAATCCATGTGGAAAGGTCTTCCACACGTTAGGGTAAGAAGCAGGTAGAAGAGAAATAAAGGCTTCTTGCAGACATTAAGGCTTTGTTGGACTGTTATGGACTCAAAATTTCCCTCCATTTTGTATCTTAGGTTTCATTGGCTGAAATTGGCCTATTTATTTTCGGTCATGTACTGTAGGACCGAATTGTAAGAACCCAGCGGGAAATGGAAAAGAAAACAATCATTGTACCTTTTGCTTTTTGCTATTCATCTTTAATTTTACTGTACACTAACCGGTTCTAACCCCCCTCCCCAGTTTTAAAAAGAAAGGGTATTAAGGGTATTTAACTCTAAGAGTTCCAATTTTCTTAATAACCGTGAAAAACGAAACGGGACGATAAATTCGGGACGGAGGGAGTAGCTTTTAGCTATTGAAAAGATTTTACGCAAAACGTGATAGTTGTTTGATAAAATGTTGATTGTTGAATTTAGTTTTGTTAGGTATATAAATTGTTCTGTACTAATTAATGTTAAAACCTACGTTCAGATTTCTCAGAAGTTACTCAGTGTACGTGTGTAGTTTCTCGAAAAAGATCTTTTATTTTGGGAAAACCTTTTAAAATTTGTCGTGTCAAACATACAATTAGAATGTTTTAAATATTTTTTAAATGTACTAAATGTATTGTAGCTTTTCAAAACAGATTTTTTATTTTATTTAAAGCTTTTGAAACATTTTGTGAAGAAAATATAACCAAAAACTTTTAGATACGTACTTTTTAAATGTTATAAAAAAATAGATAGTACTCCTTATAAATTTATGTCCGTCAAGCTTTGAGTGAAAACTTACCTAACCATGCATACAATAAATTTACACAGAAATACATGCAGTTAGCTAAACTCTGAACCAGAAAAAAAAAATTATTATTCGTGGTTCTGATTTTCAAAAGGGATTGGAATTGTACAACACTTACCTTGTTTGGTTAGTTCCAAAATCAGCGTTTTTATATAGGTCCGTTTTCGGTCTTTTGATTTTAATTGTTAACAAAAATAATAATACCGGATAATTTAGTTAATGTTGTTTCAAAATGAAACATGTAACTTCGAAATCCTCAAAATGAAACATGTACGAAGACCGTAGTACATGCAACTTCGAAATTCAAACACTATTAGTTCTGCAAGTCAAGTGCAAGTTGTGCAACTTCGAAATCCTCAAAAAAAACTTAAGTGCAACTTAAATTGAGAATCTACCATTTAGGTAAAATAATAAAACATACGATAGTATTATTCAATAAAAAATATTACCACAACTACTTTATTAAAATTTTGTTATGAACTGCCACCATAATAATATATAAACCCCAGTTCTTCTGGGTTGGAACTTGGATGTTTTGTGCGGTTGTGATACTAATTCAAAAAGAAAACAAACAGGTATATAATATATGTAGAAACTACCCAATATAAGTTCTGTTAATTAATGATTTTAAAAATTCGCGTGCGAAGACATATCGATCTAATTGCGGAGTCCTTTGTCTTGATTTATACTACGTATATATATGGAGTGAAGACAAGATCACAAAACCCCCACTGGCGTGTGAAAGCTTTACTCGGATGTTTTAACTATGTGTACATCGCCTCATATATGTACTCGGTATAATATGTCTCAAATTCTCCATAAATCTAATAAAGTGATTTGCGTGTTGTAGTTCCTGTGTGTTGGGCTGAATCGATCTCCGATGCGCATGGATACAAGATCTAGCATCATTTGAAATGCAAATATTACTTGATCTTACTAAATTAAAAGTGTGTAGTAATTTGAAATGCATCATTAGAATTCAACTCGTACTAGAAAATCCCAACAACCCCGAATTGAAAACACGTTTCGGATTGGTTTTCCCAAAAATATTACTACTTCATATATTCTTCAATCATTTTTAATCCAATAAAATTGAAATCTCAATCAATATCATAAAAAGAAAAAATGAAGTGATATGTTTGTATATTTATTTAAAAATAAAAATCATGTCAAATTAAAATTAAATGTACAACTGAAATAATCATATGACGTCTAATTCTTGTGAACTATCGCCGGTACCAACCATACAAATCAGTGAATAAAGGATTACCAAACCTGGGTGCTTACATCGGACCTGTCTTTGACTTTTTCCTTGCCCGAGAGCCATACTAATTTCAAAATATTGGGTTTTCCCACCGACAACTTAATTTGAGGCGTACGATTAGCCACATAGATCTGGCGTGCACGATTTTACGTGGCCGGGTGCCTTGGTTTCATTTTTTTTTTGGCAAGTGTGTTGTACACCTTTGTTCTATACATTGCCGATTTGTCTATACTTTCAAAATATCTACATACACATGCAATTAGAAGTGTGTCCAATAAATATGTACACAAAAAGTGTACAGATGACTATTTTTCAAGTGTGCCTTGATTTTTTATGTGCGTTCATAGCCGGATATAGATAGAGATGGTACAACTTGTTTCGATTACGACTGCTTCAAGTGCTGCTCAGTCGTTTTCTGCATGCTTCTCCATAGTCCATACTATTACCTACTTCCCTCGAATTTGTTCAAATTATAGCTTTCGCGCTGGTTTTAAATTCGGAAATTATGTAAAAATGTTGTTTACTTTGCTAGTTTGCTAAATGGATGTACGTATTCTCATTTGAAATGGATGTACGTATTCTCACATCACCCTAATAATATCTGATAATACCAAAACATGATAGTATGATTTCATAATAACGACAGTTTTTAACTTGTATTTATGGAGAAAATGTAATACTCCTCTTTTAAAATTCACATTTTTGCTTCTATTTTGAGAAAATTACTTTTTAACTTATACTCCCTCTTTTCTTTTTAGTTAGCCAATTTTGATTTTTCAAATCAATGGTGTTTATTTTTGACCGAATATATATTTCTATAAAGAAGTATAGATAATACGAAAATGATATGAAAATGTTCGTTGTCAAAAATACTATCATAAAATATTTTACATAAACATTTTAGTTAAAATAATTGATTAAAGTTTTCTATCTTTGACTGAAAAAGATAAAAATGACTAACTAAAATGGACAGATGTACTGTTGTAGTATATAATTTAATTTCAGTACATTTATTAGGTTGAACTGTCAGCCAAATTTAATTTTATCAAAAACACTCTAAATAGTTAGCCTCATTTCACACAGAAAGTATGAGGGAAATGATGGTTGTATCTCCTCCACTAAAAAATGAGTGGTGATGGTACTATGATAGTGCCACATTATGCCTATGTTTGTGTACAGTGGCGGAACCGGAAAAACGGATCAAGAGGGTCGAAAATCAACTATGTACAAAATGAAAAATAGTAGACCATTTTAGACAATGTCCGAATTGAATGTTACATTTGTAGTTTATATAAACAGGTATTCGCAAGCAATAAGATAGATTGTTTTGTTCTGTTTCTGAATCATGTCACGTAAGTAATGAGTTAATTATACGTTATTTTTAAAATTCGAAAAAATAATCAATATTATGCATCAAATTTTACGTATTTTACGTTTAGATAGTGCTGATTTTTCAGAATTCATAACTTTTTACTCGTAATGAGCTACGGGAGCCATAATACATCAAATCGGAGATATTTTATAGCTCTATACTCACAAACTTTAAGCGAGGTCGACTGACCACCCCGACTAGTCATGGACCCGGTCCGGTCCGGTACATCAAAAAGACGAACCGGCCCGGCCGGTTCGGGCCAAGTTCGAGCCTCTCTTTTTTTTTGGGCTGGGTTTAGGCAGGCTGGGTAATTCTGAGGGGTTTGGGGGGTGGGGGATGGGGGGGTAGGGGTTGATATAAATAAGAAAACACACACACACACACACACACACACACACACAAGGAACTGGCCCGGCCCGGCCAATTCGGGCCTCTTTTTTTTTGGGGGGGGGGAGGGGGGTTGGGGTGGGTTTAGGCGGACTGGGTAATTCCGAGGGGTTTGGGGGACGGGAAGATGGGGGTAGGGGTTGAAATAAATAAGAAAACGCAAAAAAAAAAAACGGAACCGGCCCGGAACCGGTAGCCTCCCGGCCGGTCCCGGGCCTTACCCAAAACCTTCCAGGCTTGACCGGGCCTGGTCCACCACTAACCCTGACCCCCCTTGGCTCCACCCCTTTTGTGTGTCAACGCTTGAACCAAAACGCCAAAATCCGTTGAAACTAAAACGCTACAAAAAAATAGTGTTTCGGGTAGCGTTTTTGCCCACCCGCCAATATTTGGAAAGGGGCATCACACCATTTGCATTTTGTAGTGGATAACAAATTAGGAATCATAAAAGTTAAAAGTGAGATCAATGAGTCTTACTCCTCTGTATCTATTAAGTTGTCCCCGTCTCCTTTTTGTGACGTATCAAATTATTTATTTCATTTCCTTTTTTGGAAGGAAATCCCTCAAAAGACAACTACAGTGTTACAGTACCGCTACAGTATAAAAAGACTCTTACTTTTCATAAAACATACGGTAATTATCTTAAGTTACGTAAAAAAAAGCAAACGAGACAATTAATTAGAGAAAAGGATTTTGCATTAAGGGTAGTTTTAAGGTAGAGAAAAGGAGGGAATGGGGAGTTGGTTCATCTACTCCAGAGTCCAGATTAACTCCTTGCGTAGAAGGAAAAAAGGCAGCTCCAAGGTGCATCCAAACGCTTGTGCTTTGGCCTTTGAGCCTTTCAGGATATTATTGGGTGCGACTGACGTCCACACCAACAACACCTTATATTGACGGAGTTGATACAAAATTATTTGGAGGTTCTAAACTCTAAATCCTAAAACATGAGTATTGACTAATGCACATATTCTTGGAGTAAATTGAAGGACTTCAATTCCTCGGCATGAGCTTTTGCTTGATTCTTGAAGTACTCTTGGAGACCTCGGTAAACCAAACAAGAGAAAAAATGAAGAGCGAAGAGAGGTCACAAGGTATTCCACCTTACATTTCATTCCAACAATCCAATCTCGATTACTGTGGTGCAACACTGGGCAATAAAACGCTGAGATGGGATGTTATACGGAGTATATAACATGATACACTCACACAGGATAGGACGTCTTACTCTTATGCATCACCATTGGCTTAGAATCACACCGTGTATTCTTCAGACATTTCCCATGTGTGTTGTACTCTGTAGAGTTTTGAGAACTGGTATATTGTGACTCCGCCATTGATCAGAACAGCGCCACGTTAATCACATCATATCAGAAGTTCTGTTTGAAGTTCATCTGCCAATTGAGAGAATGAAACCAAGTAAATTCCGAGAGTAAAATTATCAAGTGAGATATGAGTTCAGACCTTCAATTCAACAGCATTTGTGCTCTTGATGATAAAGCACATCCGACAATAAAACTGACAATAATGACTTTATATCTTCTTAACAGAGTATAAATTTATATCAACCAAAGATCCAAAGCACTCACCACCATGATGGAACTGCCGCAAGGGACAGATCTTACGGTCCTAGTTTATGGGAACTGCTTTGGGTTTCAATCAGCAATTGGTATGACCTGCTTTTGCCTCTAGGCAAGACCACAAGACAATGTCTATAATTGATATGTGTTCGCCCCTCTGCCTTTCTCCAACTGGAAACATTATAAGGCTTCACCACGCTGCGCCACTATCAACTTTGCATTTCATTACACCATCCTAGATTTCCCATGTGCTGCCGTCACTTGTTTGGGCCAGCTCTGCCCTTGTTGTCACTTCATAAAAGAATATGCTTTGACACCTTGACAAATTTCATTTTACTTCACATTGGATATCTTTATCTCAAATCTTAGCTAAGTTCTAGGTAGTTAAGGTGCTGTTCTATTCGTCTTATTCTTATTACTTATTGCTTATTCTTATTTTATTCAGATCAGATCAGATCAGACCAGAAAGATTCAGATCAGATCAGATCAGATCAGATCAGAAAGATTCAGATCAGATCAGACCAGATCAGAAACATTTAGATCAGAACAGAAACATTCAGATCAGATCAGAAAAGTTTTCACTTTTATTATTATTATTATTATTATTATTATTATTATTATTATTATTATTATTATTATTATTATTACACTATTATAATAATAATATGATTAATATTATTATAATATTATATTATAATTATAATTATAATTCTTATAATTATAATTATAATTCTTATAATTATAAGTATAATCAATTATAATTATTATAATTATAAGTATAATTAATTATAATTATAATTAATTATAATTATAATAATAATTAAAATTATAATTACAATCATAAATACAATTATGATTATAAATATAACTATAATATAATATTATAATAATATAATACGGAATACTTATAATAATAATAATAATAATCATATTATTATTATATTATTGTAATAATAATATTAATATAATAATATCTTTATAATAATATTAATTGTATTTATATTACTATTATTATATTATAATACTATAGTTACTGTTAATATAATTATAATTATTATTAATTATAATTATAACAGTAATAATTATACTTATAATTATATTATAATTATAATTTATGATTATAATTATTATTTTTATTATAATTATTAATAATAATATTATTATTACTATTGTAATTATTTTACGGAGTAATTATAATAATATTGATAACTATAGTTACAATTATAGAGATAAATGTTGTAATTATAATTACAATTTTAATTATATAAGTAATTATAATTAAAAATATAATTACAATTATAATTGTGTCTATATTTATAATTAATGTAATAGGTATAACTTTTTTCATTTTAAACTTAATTATTATTATTATTATTATTATTATTATTATTATTATAGTTAGGATTATAATTATTATTTTATTTAAATTATATTTGTAATTACAATTGTAATAATTACAATAATTATAATTATAATTATAATTATAGAAATATTCAAATCAGATCAGATCAGAAAGATTCAGATCAGATCAGAAGGATTCAGATCAGATCAGAAACATTCAGATCATATCAGAAAGATTCAGATCAGATCAGAAAGATTCAGATCAGATCAGATCAGATCAGATCAGATCAGAAAAATTTAGATCAGATCAGATCAGAAAAATTCAGATCAGATCAGATCAGAACTTAAAAAATTCAGATCAGAAACATTCAGATCAGGCGAAGAGAACAGCTTCTAAATCGTTACTCGGTGGTAACTCGGTCAAGGGCCAAATAGTGAAAAGGAATGAGTGAGTACTCGGGATTACTCGGTGACAGCTCCGTTAAGAGCCGAGTAGCGAGTAGGAACGAATACTTAGGATTACTCGGTGATTACTCGGATCTGTATTAATTAAACTTAAAAATAGAGATGCTCCAATGGAGTTTTAGCTATTCATTCTTAGATATGAATAAAATAATATTGATGTCAAATCTAGCTTTATCTGTCCTAACAGATTTTTTCAACCAGTGATTGAGCTAACCATTTTCATCACATCATTGGTTACCATGTTAGAAGAAGAGACACTTCCCATAATCTGGTCAAGATGTTCTTTAAGATGGTGAACTCATCCAGACATTTTCCTATCACAAAATGTACATCATTATAAACTTTAGTACTCGTATTAGAATCTCTGCCCTCTACCCATATCTATCCTATATCACCTGATTTTTCTCTTAAAAGTCATTTTAGCAAATTCACAACCATTAGAAGCCTCAGAAGAATTTGTTGTTGCCAAGTTTTAGACTACAGATTTAATCCCAAAAAAATGAATGCCGAGTAACTTGGCGAGTCAAACTTGTCAACAAGTTAAAAAAATCGCCGAGGGCTCAGCATGTAACTCGGAAAAACAGAATGGGGCAAGTCAGAATGCTAACTGGCAAGGCCAACCCCCGACTCGCGAGTACTCGCCGAGTAGATAGCAATACTTAACCTATGGTAGACCGTTGCCTTTGAATTATGACTGCGGAAGAATGGCTGAGATGGAAGTAAATGAGAAGTCAGGTTTTGGACCTTTTGATCTCACTATTATTCAGACATTCCAACTTTTGGTATTAATTTAATAAATGAAAAGCATCTGGTGATGACGTGATGTGGCAAGCATCATAACGTTAATGAGAAAAAGGAGATTTATGCATGCTGTTTTTCTTAAAATCAGACCAGCCTGCATGGGGATTCAGTTTTATCTATCGAATATTCGGGAGGTATTTTGAGCACCCAGTATGAAAAATACCACACTACAATTTATAGTGTGGAAAAGGACTAGTAGTTAGCATCTGAGCTGACTAGGAGAAGCATAAGTGAAGCAAAGGTTTAAATGAGTAATGGCATTCATAATCACGTAAAAACATGTGTGTGAATTGTGAAATGCTAGTAAAAGATTCAGTTTTATCTATCGAATATTGGGTGAACTATATTCACTTTAGTATATCTTACTAATCCCAAAGGGCAGCAAGACTCACAGAAAATTACGTAGTATTTGAGATGCATCATAATTGTAAAAGTTACTACCTCCAGCTAAAGCTTCTCATAGTAAAATGATAAGGTTATTTAAATAAGGTTAATTAAGGTTATTCGAGTATATTTTGAAAAGTATTGTTGATGGATATATAATATAACGAGGTCATTGATTGATAACCTTTAGCTAAGACGTCCAAATGAGGCAAGTGAGAAGCTTAAGTTGGAATGGAGGGAGTCATAAGTTAATAACCAATTGACTAAGATTGCTATGGAAGAAATTCATAGATAATCTGATAAGATCTATCCCTAGTAACTACTACCAAATGAAAACCACACAACTCAGCTGTTTTTTACTCGACCTGAATTTAGTCCTGAACTTTCCTCGGTGATATCAATTGTTTATGAAGCATAGCATGAGCATAAAAATAGTCGGGCTGTTATTTTCTCAACTAATAACCCAACAGAGATACAGATCTATAAATTAGATGTCAACGGACAACATAAACTCAAGTACTCAACACACATATTGCATATATGCAGCAAAAATAAGGGTATAGAAAATACACAAGAGGTAGACAGAGAGAATCTGTTTAGAAAAAAGGCTAACAAGTATTTGGTGCTCTATAAGATACGTTTAACATTACACATCTGTACAAGTGGGCTTACTTTTAAATTTGCTCGCAACTGCTTTAATCCATCCTCTGTCTTGACTATCATAAGCAAAACTGTTACCAGAAGCTACCAGGACGAACCCATCATTCTTTGAAGTGCCCTTGTCACTTGAATGAGAACATGAGAGCGGCTGTACTAGAAGAGATCGAGTCCCCTTGGGAAGCAGCTCCTGAATTGGAGAATCTGGAACCAGACATTCTTTTTAGTTGATTCTAGCTTGAGAAGTGACAATTTAGTCTTCAAAAAATATACAGACTCAGTGAAGTGAATAGCATGCTAGAGCGGCATAGTGGAGCGTAGGAGTCATTGGGCACTACAAGACCACCTGCAGCATCGTGTTTGTCTCTTGCAGGAGTAACGGTGGCTACAGCTGGCATTGTACCGGGTGTTGCAGAACACTACAGTTAGGCTTTTTCTAGGGTAAGTTTTGTTTTCAAGGGTAAAGTAAAGTTTTTTAAAATAAATAGTAACCAGCCAAAACCCTTCTATATACATAAAACCCTTAAAATCCGCTCCACCTTTTGAAATTATTTCTTCTCTTCACTACTGTTGCAACTCACACCTGATACAATGACAAGCATCTGATGATTCTGATTCTATAGTTCATCTTCTTCAAGAACCTCTGCTGCGTCATCGACTCATCTTCTACAATAACAACATCTGCTACACTCCTTTTTGCTTCTTCAAGTAGTGCCTTTTGCTGCTTCATCTTCTACAAGAACAACCTCTGCTGCACTCATTGTTAGGGACCCAGACACTACCAATAATAAGAGTCTTATTATGTAATTTTAATATTGTTCAATAATAGGGTTTTAGGCCCAATAACATAGTTGAGGGCTGGCTCTTTAGGAGAGTATTATATAAGAGGGAGTAAGGGGGAGAATGGGGGGTTGGGATCGGGGCTGGGATTTTGAGAGTGCGAGACCACTTGAAGCGTCTCACACTCACTTTCTTCTATCATTATTTTCTGTTTTTCGTCATTAAATCTTCATCAATATACTACGAGTTTCTACTGTGTTTGTTATGTTACCTATCGCTCATCTTCTTTGACTCTTCTGAGTAGTGTCTTCTGCACTACTCTTCTTTGATTCTTCTGAGTAGTATCTTATGTTGCTTCATTTCTACCAAAACAGCCTCTGAACAACTGCTTACAGCTTCCAACTCTAGGGGAAAGAGCCGCTTGGTGGAACATGTTGAAGAGGAAGAACAGACAAATATGGACGAAGAATTTTGCAGTAGCCATAGTAGTGAAAATGACAAAGAAGACGAGATAATGTTAGAAGAAGAATTCGATGAGGAGCAGTGGTGAATGATGAACTAAGAAGGGGGGCTTGGATCTAAATTTTATGAGGATTATTTTATCAAGACTTGAACCAGAAACTTATTTTTTATTCAAGACTCAAACCAGAAACTATTTTTGATTTATTGTTTAGACTTGAGCTGTTTTAAATATTAATAGCTTCACTAGGGAGTATTCGTAGGTAACTTAAGATTTATGAATGTCAAGATGTTTGAAACTTTCAGTCACATATACCATTTTTTTAATTAGATATGTGTATGCAATGTAATTATATGCATACATATATTATGTATTTTGCATTTATAGTCTCTGAATAGCGGTCATCCCGCTATCCAGTATAACGCTGTAGCGTTTTCAGGGTTGGCCGCTACGCTCCGCTATCCGGGATTGACAACACTGCAAAGACTGCGACTTAGGTTCTTTTTGTTGGAGGAATTTGGAGGGGTTCAAAACGGAAGGCTATTAAAGGCTTAGTGCCTTAGTCTATATCTTGACAAATAGATTTCCCTTAACGAAGAAAAGGTGATAGAAATGTTATGCCATCACATATTAATATATTCGTGGGTACATAAATATACACATATAATTACACACACACATATAGGAGATGGTTTATGTAAGAACTATCTTATGTTGTGCAAAATGAGAATGGTGCAAAATGTTGTGCATTCTAATTCATAGCGGTGCAGTTTGGAGTGGCAAAAAGAGTTAAGTTTGTTTGAAAAAATGCCACCTCATTTTTTTATTTTAATTCATAACAATGCACATTTTTGTCTCACATAATGCACAAGTGTCAAATCTAACGCACCAAATCTATTTTATCCAAATACAAATGTATACATATATAAATAGCTACATGTGTAGGCATACATATACTTATACATGCATATATGCATATATGTACATGTACATATAAATATACACACACACACATATAGGAGATGGTTTATGTAAGAACTATCTTATGATAAGCACTACTTCTTATAGTAACACTTCTGATCTGAACTAATGGTAGTATCATTCAATAGTTTGACAGAAAAGGTGGCATTCTTGTAATATATATCGGAAATGCTTAGAAAATTATATATTTGAGATTTTGTATATGGAAGGTTTTGGAGGTCTACGTCTATATCTTCATTAACCAATTAATGTACATTTGAGGTTTTATATAAAAAAAAATGCAGAAATAACATAATAGGTGATAATAAATTAATCACCTCTTATTCATTTTTAGAAAAATTACAATTTTAAGATATACGGATATACCGTCTTCGAACACAATCTATATTTATGATTTTCCGAGTCTTCAAGATAGAGAAAATTAGCACAATAAAACTAGCATTCTTGGGAACCAATGTGATTTGGAATTTCGGAACTAATACAATTGCAGTAGGACAAATCATACCTGTAGCTTCGGTGAAATATAGTGTATCCTCCAACTTTAAATAACCAAGCTGCAGAATTTGTTTCTCAAACCAATTACATATATCAGCTTTTGACATATCCCGTGGAGTTTTCCAGTAGCCACGCACACAAAGTGCGTCTTGTGTTGTGATAAGCTACAATATTGTATGGTGCAAAATGGCAAAAAAAAACTAGCAGACCCGACACGGCAAAGGATGATGAAATTATTTATGGGCAAGCACTACATACCACAGATATAGTGTTTGTATTGCGCAGCAAAGCATATGTTCCCCAAGCCAAATCCTCCTTCAAAGCATCAGGAACATTTTGCGAGATGACAAACATTTGGTCCGCATCTTCTGGAAGATTCCTTTCATCGCGTAGAACAGCACCCTACAATCAATGATATAACAGATGTTCTGATATACAAAGTAAGCACCAAATGTAATAAGCATACAAATATTAAAAGTGGAAGAAACTGTGCTCCCGAGTATCTGACTTATAATCTGTTTCATTTTAAAGACTCTACAAAGATGGCTTGATACTTAACTTTCTGGAAGGAAAACTAGAACAGTATTTAATGTCCATCACAACATATTTACCTTGCTAAGTTGCTGACTCAAAACAAAAAAGGCAGAAGCTTTTACCTAGAAAATACTTCGTATTTGTTTTGTGGTTCCAGACGTCCAAAAAAATACTTAGCTATATTAAGCTATAAATTTGATCATTTGAAAACAATTAAGTAGTACGGAGTATCTTTTATTAAGTGCCTGAGAATAAAAATAAATGAGAATAAATACCTATCAAAATTAACACGCACGCACAATTTGATTATTTCAGAAAATGGAATTAGCAACTGGAAATTACCTTCAGAAATCTCCCAATGTAGGGGATTACAACAGAAAAGGCAGCAAGAAAAAGACCTAGAACTTCTGTTCTCTGTAGAATATATGGATATAGAAGGTTGAAGTTATAAAATCATCAAAAACGTGATTACAATAAACACATCAAAAGAGTGTATCTTAATCTTAAAACTCTATAACAATATAACAAGTACCATTGTATAAAAAGATCTATCTTTCCAAATAATATACAAAAGATCGAGCTTACCATCTGGGCTGCGGTGATAGTGGATGAATCCGAGTCTATATAGTGATTCAACAGTATCAACGAACCAAATGCGTACCCTATATATCTCGGTAAGTAAGATTCATCCAATCCAGGTATTCCTTTTCCCAGAAGATATATAAAAATTACTGCTTTCAGATACATGATCGTAATTTAGAAAATATGAAAGCGGCACACCGGTATACGAGTGCATATGTACATACCGAGGGTGAAACGAAGAACAGAGAGTTTGAGATGTTCCTGTTCGGTTTTGGTGCTTCCCAAATTGTTGCCCGCACGGTTACAGCGAACTTTAGGAGACGGTTTTCGTATCCCATAGCGGAAACTTTCCGGCGGGCGCTGATATTTGTCACCGGTTCTAGAAGGGAGCGGGATAAACAGAGTGAGTGGGAAGGAGCTGCTGCTCATTTCTTAGCTTGAAGCAGGTGAGGGACGATGGTCAATTAGGCATGGCAATGAGTAGGGGCTTGTATGCAAGACCCAGACCGGCCAGTCAGCGGGTCCGTCATGCCCATTGATTTGTAAATTTGACTTTCTTTGGTTAAACAGTTTCATTTTAATCGCTTAATTAGGATATCAATTTTTAATTATATTCTAATTTGGAGTTTACAACTTTGAAGAGATTTTAATTTATATTCTCAAATCGATTTGTAAATTTGACTTTTTTTGGTTAAACAGTTTCATTTTAATCGCTTAATTAGGATATCAATTTTTAATTATATTCTAATTTGGAGTTTACAACTTTGAAGAGATTTTAATGTAGTTTCTAAATATATAAATTTTAATTATTAAGAATTGAATTCATTATCGATATGGAGCATTGACTTTTATTATTGATTGACCAAAAAATGTTGACTTTGCAAAACAATTTGGGACGGAGGGAGTATGTATTTTTATTTATGTAAAGTTGTTACCAATTGAATCTATATAAAGTTTATTTCTAAATAATAATTAAAAATTAAAATATTAAATCAAAACCATGATAACCTGAAATTTTCAAAAAATAAGAAAATATTACTCCGACTTGAATAGTTAATCTATTTAATTATATTAATAATTGAACATATGAATTAAAATGCTATATATAAAGAAGACATTGATAATTTGTCGTTCATCTCATTCTAATATATATATTAATATATTATAAGATTAAAGAATTTATGATTTACTGTATACACACATATGTATGTTAAAGTATATTTGTAGTATAATTTAAGAAAAAGTATGTATGCTTATGTATTGAGCTGGTCGGGTCGGGGCGGGGCAAGGCGGGTCGGCACGGGTCAATACTAATACCCGGACCCGCCCCATTGTATAGGCGGGGCGGAGCGGACCCACCTCATTTGGAAGACGGGGCGGGCCGGACCCGCCCCAAATGTCTCGGGCCAGGGCGGGTCACTGCGGGTCAGATTTTTTGACATGCCTATGCTCAATCCATACACCAATAATAATAAAAGCTTTACCAATAATAATACTTCGTACAAACTTTGAATCTGAATTTTAAAAATATCGATTATTTGAATTTAAACACAAATAATATGGAGTCATTTTTTGACAAAAAAAAAAACAGTCATTTTAGACATCAAAAACTAATGATCACTCATCAAATAAATGGTATTTGGAGATATATTCACTTATTAGATATTTTATACAAGTTTTTGATGATTTAAATGAGTGAATTTGTAGTTAAAAATGTTCTATATCACTTTTGGTCTATATTTAAATAATTGATATTATTAAAACTTATTTCCATAGAAGATAGTTTATATTATTTAAAGTTATTCTTGATTATTCTTTCGGGGTATTATTCTTGATTCATAGAACATAGTTTGTATTATTCAAAGTTATTTTCTCTATTTAAATTAGTATTTGTAATACAGCGGCGGAGCACCGGAGCCTAGTCAAATTTATGTCTAGTACAAAGTGTGAGGCATACCAAACTTGACCAATCGTCACAATTTTATTCACGTAGGCAAATTAGAGTAATGAGATCTCTAAGTTTATCTATCTTTGAGACTTCAAGAGAAAATGGGGTGTATACTCTATTTTAACAGGAGAACTATTGTCATGTCCAATAGCCATGGAGAGAAGAAAGAAAAACCACTCCCTAGAACATTTAGAAAAGCACTCTAATTAGTTGTTGATATTATATATAGATACAAAAAGCTGCAAGGATAGATGAACTTCTCATGATTTATTATTGAACTATGTCACTCATATATAATGGTACAAAACTAAAAATAAACTAATAATCGAGGCATAAATCGAAGAAACATTATACCGTATAAGAAAATAAGAACATGAATAAAAATGTGTTAAGACTTAAAAAGAACAATGCACACATTCTTTTCATGTTGATTTGGTTGCCAAACAAAGGTTGCTAAGATCTTAGAGGGACGAGCATATCGAACAAGATAAACTATTTGGGTGAAAAGTAAAAATATCAATGACTTCTGGAGATAATAAATGGACTGGAGTTTTTACAAGCGGAAGAAGATGAGCTGGAAGAGGAAAAGGAAGGGGAGTAGGAATAAGAGAAAGGGGAAGAGGAAGAGGAAGAAGAAACAAATTAGAACTTGCAAAGCGTCAAACACAAACTTGTCAAAAAACAAGTGGTGAGTATAAGGCATACTCTAAAAGTAGAGGAACCGAAATCAAGGAGAAACGATTAAAAGTTAAGAAAAGAATGTATGAAGCCTTTTATTTCAAATTAATTAGCTCTTTTTCGCTCCATTTTTGCTTCACGTACTTGTTTTGAAATAAGGCTAAAAATAACATTATGAAAACAAGAAAAATGATTTTCCATTTGATGTTGTTTCCTTTCAAAACATCACTAGCACATGTTTTAGCTTTAAAATTTTTGTTATATGAGGTATATCAGATAATTGTGAAATCGTAAACCAAAAACTTTAAGCGAAAGTAAAATGAGACGGATCCAATGTTGGTTTTTCCTTAATTTCTCAGTACCTACTTCAACTTGTTAATTTATTAGTTGTTAATTTTAATTTCAAGTGACTTTCTCCCTACCATCTCATTCACCAAAATACCTTTCTAAAGTCAATAAAATGCATCTTAAAATGGGGAAAAGGTAAAAGCATTTACCGTGTCGTAATAAAAAAGAAATTAGTAACGACTTTGACCAATGATGATTGTATTTTCTAGAAGAAATATGTCCATCATACAGGTTCTCAGTGCATAATTGACGTTTTAAAACTCACATTTACACTCAACAATTGGTCGGGGTAAGTTACTAACTTAATAGTTCATTTAAGTTACTTGACCATCAAATTGGATTAGTAAAAAACTATTCCGATATAAATCTTACTTTTTTATGATCTCGATAAAGAATTCATCTTTTTATTTTAATAAATGATATTGTGAATACACTAGTGTAAAAAAACACTTTCTATATGGGTTAAAGAACACTTTTTATGTCGGTTCCCGTAACGACATAGTAGCCATCGATAACCGTTATTGAATGTTTACAGTGTCAGTCCAGAATCACCCCATATAAAATCCTTTTTATATGGGTTAAATTATCAACCGTTTTTGAATGTTTTTAGAAGGTAAACCCTATCCCATAGATTTATGCATAATATATTCTTTTTAATACTCTAATTAACATAATGAAATCATTAAATGAATATTATGGCAAATATATTGATAATTATTGTAGCTTAAATACAATGTTTCACAAGTTCATCCAAACAAAAACTACAAAGTTTCTCAAATTCACCCAAGTCAAATTAAATGTACAAAGTTTCACATGAAACAAACATTATTCATGCTCGACATCAAAACAAAAATGTATTTGTCAATAGCAAATGTTTGTGCTGTCACAAATAAATGATGCTCAACGCTCTCTTGTCTCGGTAATTTCTTGTTGGCTGAATGGCTCTTGAACATTGAATGTCTGCAAAATCAAAAATAAAAGTAGAATCACACTCAATAAAATAAGAATATGAAAATAGAATATCACCTTCTTGCAAAATTAACCATTTGACCATAGCTGAAGAATGACTAATCCATCTTATTCTTAAAATTCATAAAAGAATGGTATTGTGTAGAAACATTCTTCCAGAATCTCACTTGGGCATTTTTACAGACATTTTATAGACATGTCTAAACTCAAGATTATTTAACTTAAAAACGGATTTTGAAGGAAATAAACAACCCGTAACTGAAATAAAAAACTCACTTGGGCTTACCTTCATGTTTAACATAAAGATCTGAATGTTGAACATGCCTGTCATTTAGGAATTTCAATATCTATGTCTTTAACTTGTTCAAAATTTATATTAAACCGTTAAATGCAGTTATCATGAGTAGGAGGCGGTGGAGGTTGGGATGATAGTGGAACTCACAGTTGTGTGATTTTGAAAGAAGATCCTTTTAAGGAGGATGAAGTAGTGAGAGAGATAGTAAGAAATGATTATGAGTTGTGACGATGATGTGGTTGTATGTGGGACACAATATCACGTTGTTGCACTTGCTTGGAGAAATTATCCCACCCTCTCAATATTTGTGCTAAATTCACATAGCTTGACAACAACATCACATGAAGTCTATTGTGATAAGTTTTATTGTTATATTTATGAACCATTGGTTCCATGTCTCTACTGGGAAACAACTATGTTATGTTTCACTGCGACTTTGGAGATCCTATAGGGAAGACAAAATGAATAATATCGCAGGTGTGTTAGGTATCCGGATCCTTGACCATGCCAAATATGAACTAATTGTGCATACTTTGCAATAACACATGCATGCAATAAAGAGCAACCGCAATGGTGGAGTGTCTAGTCCAAGTAAAACATGCCAAATGTCAATTAATTAAGAGGATTTCTAATCCGCATGGAACATAGTGGAATAGCCGAACATTAAGCTACTCAAATCCCCTCCAATGCATAAAGTCTAAAGCCCAATTTAAGTGTATATGTGGCCTTTTTTATTAAATAAAAAAAACGGCCAGGCCAATTAACTGATGCCCTACGTTAGTTAGTTTTCAACGTAAACTGATGGATAGGTTGTGCCGCTCTTGCTCTTTCTGAATATTTCATTGAACTCATTCCACGAACAGGTAATTTTATGCTTTTATTGGGTAATCAAATTGAACGTATATATGAACTGACATATACTCGAGTACATATATATATATATATATATATATATATATATATATTATGGAGTAATATATACCCGATTTTACAACTAATTCATTTTGATTCCTACTACTGATATAACAGATGAATAATCTTGAAAACATATAAAATATTTATAACTTGATCTATCTGATATATGCAATCCATTAGTAATATTATATACTCCATATAATCTTTCATATGTATTATCAAGGTTATGTAAATTATGGTGTGCATCTTGATTTTATTATTTCTCAGTTTGAATATTTGAACATTTTGATATGAGTTGTGCTAATTGATAATTTGATATCATTATACT